ATCCGGGAATCCACGCGACACCCACGGGGGACGCACCCCTGGGTTTTGTATTATATCCAGATCTCACTCCTTAGGTAGGACAGCTGGTGTCCAGAGCCACGGGGAGCGTGAGAGGTAAAGTGCTACATGCGCACAGTCAACACACACTCACACACACACACACACACACACACGTACACACACACACACACACTGTGAGGCCACGAGAGGTTCATGTCTGGATGTTGTGGACAAATAAATTCACATGAATGTGGTTTCAAACATAGACATAGATCTCGGTTACGAGTCGGGAAGGAGAGTCGGCTGAACTGGGTTAACTGGACTCGGACTGCTTTTCTGCTAAAGAAGGGCTCTGTTTCCGTGCCAGCCGGGCATCCTGGGCTCTGGCGGTCCCGGGTCTCGCAGCCTTTAGCCTACGTGTCATTACCCGCCCCACTGACTTCATCTCACTGGGTTTTCTTGGAAGGAACTTCAGGCCGCTGCATGAAAATTACATGTTGGTGGCGGGAAAAAGAAACACAGCCCTGAAGCCGCCTTCCTGACCCAGTTTTGGGGGTGGAGAGGGTCTGACGGGAGGCAGGAGGCTGAGCGCAGTTTCTTCCTGCTTTGCTGGCAGTCAGCACTCATTGATCTATTTATCTGGAGAGAAAAGAGCAGACAAAAAGGCTGGCTCCCGAATTCTGTGGTGAGTAAATCAGCTCCTGGCTGAGAAGCAGAGCCCAGGGTAGGAGGGCCCCCCTCAGGGCCAGCTCGCTCAGCCACCAACCCTGGGCCCAGGGCAGCTCCAACCAGCATCCCCCGGCCAGGCTGCCACCATCCTGATGTGGGACCCCGACGGCCCGGAGCTCAGAGACCCCCCTCCCACAGGCGCAAGTGTCCTGGGGGCCACGGGGGTCCCCGGGGGGCTCAGGGCTCCCATCTCAGCGAGGCCACTCACAGAGCCAGCACCCGGGACTGAGTGCGAGCGGGGCTCGCGTCTCCTACAGGGCCCTGTGCTGAGGCATGGCCCGGGAGCTTCGGCACTGAGGAGCAGGGGCCGTGACAGGGGTGGCCCGAGCAAGCCTGCATTGTAACGGTGCAATCTTTAACAGTGACCTGCAGGCACATTTCCAGAATCCTTCAGGCAAAGAGTTTCTTGTGGGGCACGCGCTTTCCTTAAGCCACGGTGGACTCCTAGGAGGCGGACGGGGCGGGGGGGGGGGGCGCCTCTGGGAGATGGCCGGGGTCCCACTGGGGTTTCAGGTCTTAGGCCTAATTGTCCCCAAGCATCTTCGCCTACTCAGCCTGTCACAGAGTCCCATCCCTTTGGGTTGCTGATTCTCAGGCCACACGTTAATTGCACTTGCAGAGACCGGTCCTGACACTAGAAGCTTCTGCCAGAGTCTGGTCGACAGTGTGCCGGGCCTGGGCATCCACTGATTCTGACAGGCGGGCAGGACCGAGAGCCTTGCTGATGACTGGAAGCGTTCAAGGGCCAGGTCACGGAGGTGCTAGCGGCACCTGCTCCTACACTTCCTTAAATAATAAGTGAGAGAAATAACTCTTCAGAGATTTTCCCCTTTCCAGCCGGACGGCTGGCTCTGAGTCCCCAGGCGCGCCCATGTCAGGTGCTGGGGTCACACCCTGCCCCTCGGTTTGCTGAGCTCCTCTCCTGCCCTCTCATGGCCACACGGTTTTTCATCATGCTTCGCCTTTGTTTTACCCTGTTTAATTCTCGCCCACACTGGGCCACTGGTTAAATCAACAAAGCATTTGGAATATTGACATTTTAATACAAGTTTACAAAGAGAACAGCACAATCATGCCTCACATAAGCTTCAAAAACTCTACCAGTTACATTCAAAGATTTGAAATTCTTTGAGGATGCCAGTCTCCAGTGTCTCAAAACCCTTGTCTAAAAGAGAGAACACCAGTTTATCCAATTGCTTTTCCATTTATCGAAAGCAAAATCTAACGAAAGAAACAGCCTCTCCCTCATCGTTTTGAAACAAAATACGAAAATTCTTTAAAAAATTAAGTCTGTGATCTGCTTGTGATGCACTTAACATGGTTGCATTTCAAGCTGCATTGTAATACTCATGTTTGCCCAAACCAACCACAATATCAAAGTTACTTTAAAATTGGCTTGTCAACCAATTGTGTTTTTTATATAAAATTAAAGTCTGTTAAATAGTGCAAGCTATTCATTAAGTGAGAAAAAGTGAAAATGTGTCTTACAAATTATGATCGTCATTAACATTGCATTAGAAATACTTTATGACATCCTTTGATTTCATAGTGTCTGAAATAAGATGCTGAAGTTAAAACAACTTCTGGCTAACATCATGTGAAAATAATTTTTAAAAGTTTTTTGAGGGAGTTTTTCAGAAGCTGTATCACATGAAAGGGGTGCATGAGTCAAAACTGGGGAAATGGCGTCTTTGCCACCTTGATCATCAGAATGCCGCAGAGACACTTCCGGTTCCCCGCCCGCCCCCAGGACCATGACTCAGAGTCTTGAAGAGATCCTGAGGCACTTCCGTTTTTAGTAAGCACCTAGGTGATTCGGGTGATGGACCTGGTGTGGGAAACACCCAGCTTGGCGGAAAGCAGGTCCCCGAGGCAAAAAGAAGGCAGCAAAGCAAGTGTCAGCTGGCAAAGCCACGACTGGGGGAAGGAGGTCAGATGTGAGTGTGGGCCTGCCCTGGAAGATCTGAGAGGTTGGACGTGAACACGGTCCTGTCCCGGAAGATCTGACAGGTTGGACGTGAGCGTGAGCCTGCCCTGGAAGTTTTGAGAAAGCCAGCGTGAAGGCAGGAAGACACTGAAGAGCTAGACCCAGGACCGGGTGAGTATTGAAGCTGCACGTTGATGCAACCCTGCAGGCCCAGTTACAGCTCCGTCTCTCACCGTGTGACCCAGGGGCAGTCACTTGCCTCTAGTTCCTCATCTGTATAACAAGGATACACACACACACACACACAAACCGCCTCTGAGGATCGTGGTAAAGGTGGAAAGAAATCATCTGGGCAAAGCATTTGGCCCCAAAGCAGCTAAACCTAAGGACCCGAAAAAATGGGAGTGACCTTGAAGAGTGATTTGGATTCTGTCTTTGACCTTACTCCACGAAATTATTATCACATGTTTTGCAACTTTAACTTGACGGTTTATTCACCAATTGCAACAATCCAGGCTCCCACGCCGTTTCCCTCAGCCGGCACTTCAATAATTCAGCCCTGTCTCCAAGCCCGGGAAATGATTCTCCTCTGGGGCGATCAAGTCAGAGCATCTTGGTGAAGAGGGGTCAACAGTGCTGTGGTTTGAACGTAGTCCCTGCAAGGGTCCCCGGGTGAAGACGGATGCTCCAGGGGAAGGGGGTTTATACGACCAGCCTCCACTGAGTTAGCACGGACGATGGGCCGGGGGTGAGGGGGCCGCTCATGCTGAGACCTTTGATTATTCTCCCCACAAAGCATTCTTTCATTTAACGTCTTTCAGAGACGAAAATGTAATTGTTAGCTAGGCTTACAAATCGGAGGTGCAGTTCTAAAACCCAGAGAATAACTCACTGGAAGCACCCAGGCTGGTAATGAGATTAGAGGCTCAACGCTCAGATATCACACAAAATCAGATGCATATTCAGGAAGCTGGAGATGGGGTCCCATGCGGACCAGAAATACATTATGCAAATACAGTGCCTGTGTATTGGGGAAGTGATGAAAAATAGAAAGAAAGCCATTCCGAGGCCTTTTGTTTCTTAAAGAAAAGCTGTAACGGGTTCAGAGCTGTGCCCTGGAGAGGACGGCCCCTCTCCCGGCCCCTGGCTGGCTCCACAGAACGTGATCAGGTGGCTCTGGGGAGGCACAGGCGGAAGCCCCCCGCCCGGGTCTGAAGATGCAAATGAACCGCACACTAGGGTGAAAAGGAGGGGAAAGAATGAAACAATTATTTTTGTCCTTATCCTTGTGGTTCGCATGGCTACTCCCCATCTACTGTGAGAGCGGGCTGTTCTCCTGTCTCTGCCTTCCTTTCAGACACGACACTCTTAGCTACTAGAAATTATTAGCATGTTTCTGCAAAGGTTCTTACAGCAGAAGTTTACCAAGCGGTGATCATTCTTTTCATCAGAAGAATGAGATTGGAAGTTTGGGATATTCCTGTTCGTAAAGTTACGTATCCATAACTTCTCTCCTTTTTTCCCCCGGGCCACCTAAATCCAGGACAAGAAATGTGTGTGTGAATTTTGTAAAGCAAATGGGAGATACTTGCTGTGACAAATTTAATGTGCTATTTTAAATTTCCTAGAGACTTCCAAAAGGGGGCCTCTTGAAATGTCAGTCTATAAATGAACTCATTACCACCGCGAAAGGTCCCTTAAAATGGGGGAGAAAATTGATGCAGAAGTGAATGGTCTGATGTCTGGGTATATAGGAAAAACCCAAGCCTTATCTCCAGGTAGCATTCTCCAGGAGGTGTAGACAGCACAGCCGCCTACTAAACATGAAACAGCGTTCTAAAGAGCTCGCCTCGATCACAGTCAGGAATGCCTCACTCCTGCTTACAGTCTGCTACAAATTTCTTCTACTTTGAAATTAAACCGTGGTGGCATTAAAAATTGATATGTGGGCTTATCAGAGGTACCAGGTGATGGGCTTCTGAAATGTCATCCTTCCTCTGTCCTCTTCTTCACGAGCCAGCAATTCCTGATCTCTCGGGATAGCAAATCTAAATGTAAGAAGCATAAATGAAAACCCTAACCACCTGGTTATTTCTCAGTGTCACCGAGTCCAAACTCATTCTGCTCACCACATGACAGGCCAATAAATGGGGAGACGAGGTGTTGGGGGCAAGGAATAATGACTTTATTTGGAAAACACGCAGACTGAGAAGATGGGGGAGTAACGTCCGGGAGAACTATCTTGTCCAAGTCAGAATTCAGGCTCCTTTTATACTAAAAAGGGGAGGGGGTGGGGTTGGTTGTTGCAAACGTCTTGGTGTAGGAATTCTTTGTTCTTGCAGCTGTCCAAGTGGGTCAGGTCATGGTGTTCCTGTAAACCTCCAACAAAACAAATGTTATTTTTTATTCTGCAACTTTTTATCTGTACGTGAATGGGGAAAGTGTTACACCCTCACAGATCAGAGCCTGGAGAGTGGGCTCTCCTGGCCATTTCAGGCTCTAGGCAGCATTCTTTTACAGAAGGTGCAGAACTAGTATGGCTAAGCCCAGGAAACACAGCCCAGGGTTTGAGCCAAAGGAACAGACATAATATGGAGTCAGATTTGTTCTTCCTGTTTCATTAAGGTCCAGAGAGATTGTTTATCTTTTATGAAGCAGCAGCCGAAGGTATAGATGGATTCCTGCTCATCGTGGCGCTGCCCTCACTAGATTTACCACCTGCAATAAAAACGTGTTGAATGAGTGAAGGAGGGAGTGGTGAACTGACGGACATATGACAAAGAGGGACTTTCACAGGGAGAGAAAGTTCGTGTTAGATGAATATTAAAAAAATAAATAAATTGGAGGGGTGACAAATAATTTCACATGTTAAAAAAATAACGGGTTCATTGGGTAGATAAGTCATAGGTTTAGAACCTGGGTTTATAATCAGTGAGCTGAGAAACAAAACAAAACAAAACAAACCTTCTCTTGAGGTCACCAGTCAAGTCACAGAGGCTTTTAGGAGTTTCATTTCCTTAGGAAGTGCGCTCATTCATACCATGTTGTCATAGAAATTTTTTTTAAGTGCTTTCCGGCCATTTTGTTGTTCCGCTGAAGAACCCAGGAGACCACCAAGCACCGGACTCAGAGGAGGCAGAAAAGTGCCCTCCCACTGCCTCCCTCCTGCCCGCTGGTCCCTGGTGAAAGAACGCTGGACCAGTTCTTTGACTGATGAGTTCCTGGAAGTGGCCTTGGTTTGAAAACAGTCTGTCCCTCCCAGCTGGGAGCCAATTCAGAGAAGAAGTTCAGCTATGGAGGACTGAGCCTTGCGGCGGGAGGAGGCGGGCGGCGCAGGGTGGGTAGGAGGGCTACCCGGCGTGGGCTGATTTAGGACATGTGTAGATATTTTCACCCACGTTGTCAAAACGCTTTTCATTCTGTATGTGTATGTAACAGTTAAACGGTGTCACAAAGGGGCTGAATAGCACCCCGAGGCCTGTTTGGTTTGCTGTGGGCCCGTGGCTGAAGCAGGGCAGTCCCAGATCCCGCGTCATTTCCCCAGGACGGCCCTCCTTCCTCGTTTCTTAAGCCTCTTGAGGTGAACTGAACAGAGAGGGGAACGGGAGAGCAAGGTAGTTTGGAAATGCCGGGTTTCTGCCCAACATCCTGACCTGTCAATTTCCTTCTTTTACCCCGCGTTTTGGAAGCCACCTCAGACCCTTTTTGGAATGAAACAGTTACCCTAAGTCCTGCAACCATCTGTGTGTGTTTGTCTTCTAGGAAGAATTGCATTGTTTTCTAATATGGGACTTAAAATTGTTGGGGTTAATTGGAAAACAGCTCCCTCAATGCGATCTTTTCTCAATTTGAAGGATCCTGACTACATGTCAAAACCTGTTTCCCTGCCAGCGACCAAAAGCAGCAAAATTAATCACCAGGAGCTACTATCATTGAAGACTAGACAGTGCTTAACAACAGGAGGGTGTGGTCACGGGTGTGGAGATCACGCACACCGTGGCCGCGTGCCCGGGGCAGGCCCACGCTGCCTCCCGGGCGGACCAGCTCTCTGGGGGAGATGGCCTGTAAGTCAACCTGCCCTGCGTCAGGGGCCGAGGAGGGGCAGCTGCCTTGGGTGGAGTCTGTCTTTCAGATGCATTCCCCCAGCAAACCCAAGCAGCCACCTCACTTACTGTCCAGGATCCGCTGACGGTGAACTTGGAGGAGTTCTAGGAGTATAATCAGTGTCAAAGGAGGTGCCGGTCTGCTGAACTTGAAGTAGGTCATTAACAAACAGCAAAGCCTGACGGAGCAGTCTGCAATGGCTTGACTTCTAACTGCAGCTCAACCCAGAGCTGGCTTCCAGACCAGCACGAGTTTTCTAGAATATGCATATCTGGGGAGTGAGGGGGGGAGAGCAATCCCGTCAGGCCTGAGCTTTCCCTGCACACACGTCTCCTCGCTCAGAGAGGGTGGATAAAAGCATCGTAAGCAATTTTAGCAATTTGAAATAAGGAGGAAGCAAACATTCCACGTACCCTCAGCTCCTATTCAATCACTGGTCTGAATTGGGTATTTTCAGAGAGCAGTGTTTTCTCCATCTCTTTAAAACTTTATTCACTTACTTTTTCAATCTTATGACTCCTGCTCTGGGCCAGTCGAAGCCAGGTCATTTTGAATGTTTGATTTAAGGAGCCCTTGGGAAAAGAAACTTCAGCTATTTCCCTGTCTGGAAGACTGTCAGAGCAATTCATCATAACAACTCTTACAAATGTACTCACTTCTATAAAAGTCAACTCCTTGAGCCAAGACGTGGGCATTTGTTCCGTTGCCCTGAGCTATTTTCTGGCTTCAGTTCACTGAGCCCTTTGTGCCTGGGCAGAATTTAAGCCCCAGTGGTGAGGCAGTCACAGCTATGGGGCAACGGGTAGCAGAAATTTGACAATTGGTTGAAATACTTGGGATGTGTAGACAACCAAGTTAAGTCACTTGGGCTGCTCCTTGGAAGCCAATATCCAGGTCAACCAGGGAGAAGGAGAGAGGCTAAAATTAGAGGCTTTATTCATACAGCATTGCCTGCACTGAACACATCTGCGAATGAAAATATAATGAGTCACGAAAGTCGAAAAGGATACCGGGATGTCATTATTTGCTGTAAAGGGACGGTCATCTGGGACTCTTGACCAGTATAAGACACCTTCCAACATTATCTTGATGTACATTTTCCCACATTTTCTTAGACTAACCGTCAAGAAGAACTAGAATGACTGTGTCAAGAAGACAAGGAGAAATAAACAAGGGTTCTCCATCCCAGAAGGATGCTCTTAAGATTAAAAAAAAAAAAAACGGCCACAGAGGGTCAGGAGAAAGAGTTCTTGCCTTGGAAAGAGGGGAAAGGAAAGAGCCTGTCACTGGGGGCGTGTGGGGACCGTGCTGCAGGGTGCTCTGGGGGGTGGGGGAAGGGAGTGGGGACAGGGAGGGCACATGGCAGCGGCACACGTGGCCGTGCAGAAGTCAAGCCACACCTGGAGGTCATGGAATGGCCGGCGGTGCGGACCTGGACTGAGGGACCTGCTGGGCGTGTCTGAAGAGGGCTGGATTGAGGGTGGCGGGTGGGAGCAGGGCCGGGGGCTGGAGTGATGGTCGGGCGACGTATGCAGCGGGTCCTGCGTCTTGGAGGCCAGGCTGTGGTTCTGGAATTTACCTCTGAGATGAGAATCCATTGGAGGAATGCCATTTGCAAACCACATCTAGTAACCGAGTGAGGTTCTGTCATCCGCATAGCTGGGCACCGCCTTTCTCTGCTCCTTCTTCTCCTATATTTCCCCTGGCCTTCAATTCCAATTTACGTACTTTTTATTGTATGTATATTTTTGGCAAGTCTTCGTAAATCTTTTGTGGAATCACCTAAGACATACCTATGTCTCTGATGGCTCCATCTATGCAGGAAGTATTTTAAAATTTTACAGCTTGTTTCGGGCTTATATTGCTGGTTCATATGAGCAGCTATGTTAGCTCAGAACCAGTAAGAACAAAGATCAGGCACTGAAACTTTATTTCTGTCCGGAATATAAGGAAAGGCGGAGCCCTTGCAGTGACAACGACTCCTTGCTTAATCCAGCCCTGCACAGAGGCCTGAAGTTTGTCCTGATGAAACAGTCCGCGTACAAACGTCATAGTCAGGAGCTATGTCCCAAGTGACAATGCTGATGCCCAAATAATTCAGTTGTGATCTTTAAACTTTCTTTATTTTTTCCATACAGTTTCCCCAAACTTGCTCACTAGCTCTGCTCTTGGCAGCCCGTAGAAGGCAGCTTGAATGAACGTGTCAGCGAGCTGGCAGCGTGAGGACAATGCTTAGCTTCAAGCCAAACACAATCGTGTTAAATCATATATTCGTGCATCCAAGCCACTGCGGAGAGTGGAGTGGGTGTGGGGAAGAGACACAGAAGCTTCATTTGTCCACAGGCTGTTTGCCGAATAACCTCACCCCAGTTATGTATTTGTTTTAAGAATATTTACTGAATGTTGGTAAATGAAAAGTGTAAAACTCCAGCAACCCTTCTCAACGGGGATGTTTGACGCTGTGATTAGTGCTGATAGTGTCGTAAACAGCCTTGGGTTTTCCCCGATTTTTTTTTTTTTAGCATCATGTTAAAAATGGCAACTTAAGTTTGCGCAGACACCTGAGCTGCACGTAAGGGGGAAAGCTGTTACCCAGGCCTTAAGTAACAAAATTCCACCCTCGGAAAAGGGGCATCGTGAAACAGTGTCCCGGGTGGCAGGAACAGGCAGAGATGAGGGAATGGGGTTCGGACTCCTTGGGAGTAACAGTCTCAGTGGTACCTGTAGCCCCACCTTCTTTGCAGTCAGGAAACGGGGACACTGGGATGCAGCCAGCTCAGCACCTGCAGTGACAGAGGAGAGGTGGCCGCACAGGGCGTACAAGGAGGAACCCGCCGCCATGAAGCCTCAGTTCCCTTTGAATTACTGCAGTGACGCTCGCTTATTGCAGTCAACTTGGGAAACAGGAAAAGTGCACAAAAGAAAGTAAAAGTCTGTAACCCCCTTCCTGAGAGACGATCACCATGGACCCCTTTTACGATGGTTCGATGCCTGGGATTTGGGTCTCCAGGAAAATCTGAGTTGATGATAGACTGTGAACCTTCCCAAATGAACACAGAGGGACGGCATCGCTCTGGTGGGAGGAACAGTGGTGGCTCTGGGCTCAGCCATTCGTTTCCTTCACTCGTTTCATTGGTTTGACAGCTGTTTAGTGAGCCAGGCACGGTGCTAGGTGCCGGGGAGAAAAGCACGAAGGAGGCAGTTACAGCCTGTCCTCAGGGAGGCGGCATTCCGGCCAGGAAAACCTGATCAACACTTAGTTACAGTTACGGACAGATGCAGACACTCGGAGAGGGTACACCTCCCAGACCCGCTTTTGTCTGGTTGAGGTGAGAGTCAGCCTTGCTACTAGAATGACCTGCAGAAGATGAGCCCTGGGACCTCCTGGGGCCTTGTCAGAAGTGCAAGTTCCCCACCCAGCCCACCCAACCAGGGTCTGCTTTTTAACAGGCTCCCAGGGGATTCCCAGGCCCACTGGGATGTGGGAATCTGGGGCCCCAGGGAGGTGGCGAAGTGAGGAGGCCCGCCGGGCCTGGGAGCCCGACATCCACCATCCGCATGGGTGATGCTTTGAGCCGGTAAAGGAAGCCGCAGGCCGGGACCGCGTTCAGGTGAGGCTGGTGGGATCCGCAGGGAGACCTGGGCTTGGGGCGCATCAGCCCCACCTGGAGCCCCAGTTTCTTCACCTGCAGGGGCCGTTATTCTGCCTGCCCCATCCCGGAGGGCTGTCATGAGGGTCAGATCAATCTATGTGTCTAAAATGTCCACAGCAGCCCCATCGTGGCTGCTCGTCTGGAGGGGAACAGAGAAGGGCTGAGTTTACGGGGTGCTCACCCAGCCACCCGACCGTGTCCAGAACAGCCGGTGAGGCGAAACCCAGAGCAGACTGTGGGGCTCCTGTGACTGGTTTACAAAACTCACCCCAAGGCCAGGCACTCATGCAAAAGACTCTTAGCTCTAACTCTGCATGTGGGGGAGGTAGAGGCGGGGTAGGGGTGGTTACAAACTGGAACTCGTGGGCTTAGGGCCACCCTGGGGCCCCCGCCTCAGTTTCGCTTCCTGGCTGTGGCTCCCACCCTCCTACTACGTTGGCATTTGCAGATGGAGTGGGACTCAGAGGGTGACCTGGAGTGACACCAACTTTGGCTTTTTCTCCTTAACTGTGAGGCTTAGAGAGAAACGATAGATCTTAAAAAAATAATAATAATCTAAGCCCAAACAAAGCAACCACAGAAAGAAAACTAAACAGAAAAATAAACATCCCCTCAGAAGAACAGGCTTTGCATTTCACGAAGCCTCTACTCCCGGTCTTGACTCGTAAGAATCAGATGAGAGTGTCCGGTTCCCCAGGCTCCTGCCTGCCACCCAGCCCCTCGGACACACCTGCGTAACTCTACCTGGGCCTGGAAGCCGGCAGGTGACCCAGCGGGCGCCTCTCGTCCATTGTGTAGCCGCAGGCAAATCAGCTCCATTTACCACCTGAAACCACCCGCCTGCTCTGCGTCTGTTCCTAACATTTACATAACATGGCTCTCAGACCTGTTATAGCACCCTTTCAGCCGTCTACCATTTTCTTTGTCCTCACCGCAGACGTGGGCTTTTTACACTTCAGCTTTAAATTCCTGATCCGTGGGAAGGCAAATCAAGGCAAAGAGCGTTCACGTGAGCAGTGTGAGGTCATTCGGTGGGATTCAGTGCTGGGCGGGACCAGGGGTCTGAAGTCCTAGTACTTATTTCTGAGATTCTTTAATCATCATCAGAAAATATTTAAGTAACAGAAAAACACCAAGAAGAAATTCTCAACAGGATTCATTCTCACTGCCCAGAGTCCAGCCCTGGGCGCACTCTATTTAATTCCAGCTACGCACAGCACCCTGTAGACCCCTTTAAAAAATTACACAAGTAATGTGCAGTCATTGAATTCAGAAATGTATAATGGACACTCTAGACAAATCAAAAGTCTCTGCTGACATCCTCTCTTCCAGAATTTGTTCACTACCCCAAAGGCACCTTTCTGTTGGCAAGTATCTTTCCAGATTTAGCGCTGTTTTATCATATATCCATGACACCGTACCCGTCAGTCATTTTCATTGCCAGTTTTTCCACTGACATGTTGCCTCTGAGATCCATCCATATTTTTAGGACTGGTTCATTTTTTGTGGCTGTATAGTATCCCATCACACACATGCTACTAATTTAATCGTTCCACTTTTGATGGGCGTTTAAGTCCTTTTCAGTTTCTCGCTGCGGTGAACACTGCAACAGTGAATGTACATTTCTGTTAGTGCCCGAGTAGAAATGCTTCTCTAGGCTTCACTCCTAGAGGAGGAAGTGTTGGATCAGAAGTGATGCACATTTTCAGTTTTAACAACCCCAGCCTTCCAAAGGCCTTTTCCAGTGGATGCCCCCAAAATCAGTGCGTGAAGTTAAGCACCTCTACAACCTTTGCAAAAATTCTTGTTCTTGTTAGACTTGCCCAAGTATAATTTTCAAAAGTTAAATGACTTTCAAATGTTTCTACAAATATGGCATGCCCACATGCCAAGAGTGTATTCACCTCATTAATGGATGAGGAAATCGGTAAGATGAAAAAGCTGATTCAAAGACCATTTGCGGAAACGGGTTTATACAGTCCTTAAGCTATATCAAAATAAGATTGCTAGGCCAGGTGTATAAATGGTTAATGTTCTACAGGACAATAAATTATACCCTTTGAAGCTACCTTTTCTTCGGGACAAGAATTATTTTATTTGCTTCTCTACAAGTTGATACATAACCTCATGGGGTCTTGGCCTTCCGTTAATAGTGAACAGCAACATCAAACAGTGGTGTGTTCTCCTAGAAAAGCACGTAACCTTAGACTTTAAACAACGCTTCAATATGTTGAAAGCATCACTATCCTTTTGGTCTTATTTCCAGATTTTGGATCATTTTTCTTAATAGGTTAAAAAAAATCTGTATCAACTCAGTGGACTAAAAGTCAGCAGTCCGTGGTGTCTCGCTGTGCATTTCTGCAATGATCAGTGACGCTGGGCCTCTGCTATTTCTGCTCTCTGGTTCCAGATCTCTTCAGACAAGCAAACATCGCTGACAGGAAATGCTTCCTTCTCTTTAGTGACCAGAGTGCCCCACACATCTGGAGGGCAGCCTCGCAAAGTCAGGTCTCCAGGCAACAGGAAGCCCTGGTTGTTCCTAGGAAAGATTTTGTAGGACCCATAGAAGCATCTTAATTCTGGCCTTTAAAGTTGTAGGGTTGCCGCTCGGCCCAGAGGCAGTGGGAGAGAGGGGCGCGTGCCCAGGGAGGATGAGGGGAGGCCTGAATGGGGCCTTGTCGGGGCGGTGGGACTCAGCTCTGACAGCTCCCCCAGCCTCCGCCCTCATGGCCCTCCTGCACACTAAGCGCTCAGGCCATCAGTCACCAGCACTTACTGTTTGCCGCCACGTTGAGGGGTCTCCAGGTTGTGGAAAATACCTTCTCTTCCCGGTGTACTGAACTCGGGTGATGAAGTTTGAAGATG